TTCAAGTTCTTACCGCTAAATCTAAAAATTAACCAAGTTCTCGATGTGCTCATCGTTCATAAAGCAATCGCAATTTGTTGATCCTTCGATGATCGCTATCAGCAAAGCATTTGGAGCAATGCAATTGCATATAGTTCTTAGCGGTCCATTGCTTTGTTTTCCCCTTTTCAATCGCCATATGAAAGGCAATTTTCGGCGAAGAAGTGATAATTTCATCGAGTAGCTGAATTCGCGTAATGTTCAGCATTTCTCGGGAAAAATAGTAGTCATAAAGCAAAACAGCTCGTTAAGAGCATTGCTGATCAATCAACACACAGAGAATCGACTGATCAAGAGTCTAGCTGAGACAGAGATAACCACTTTTCAGTTGAGCTAGAGCTAACACATTTTATCTAAGGGCAAAGAATGGCATATCTTATCGATAATATATCTTGATTTACTCTCTCGGAACATAGACCAGTGACTCGACTCACACCTCACATCGTTCTGATCAAGAGATGTGTCATTAGTTCTTGCAATCATTCGAATGTGATCTAAGAGAGCAAATAACTCGTAATAACCACTAAGTCCTCATAATATCGCACTGTTCTCATAATTCTCACAATTCCCGAACTTCTCTCCGACTAACGCAAAACGGAAAGTATCGCATAGACTCCGCACTCGGTGGGACATGTGTCGATTACATTCTATCGGAAAAAGAAATGAATAACTGATGCAGAAATCTGCTTGAATGGTGGATAAGTTCGGAATATTGTTTTGAAGAGTTCGACGTTTTTGGTAATTAAATCGCTCATTTGGTAATAAGATCCGCTGTTCTTTTCGGATATATTCGGTCGTTTCGTCAGCCATTGAAATGTATGAAAGTGATCCCTCCATGGTAGTGATTATACTCGTTGATTGAATAGTGAAAAGTCCCTTTAAGAAATGAGGAATTGAATCGGTTTCTCTCATTAGTTCCTTATCGGAGCAATCAACTTTTCTTAAGCTATCCTTGATGACCTTCGCAAAAACCATTCGAAACGAATTAAACACATTGCCAGACTCCGAATTACAATTGTTGTGCATGAGGAGAAGAACCGAAAAGAAATAATACCGCCCCAGAAAAATCAAAAATTATTTAATTCGGCTTTTCGCTTTCTGCAAAATTCATGGCGAAAAAAAAATTGAATTGAGTCTGACGAAAAGTGCGATTAGGGCAAGAATGACACGAGGACTGGACTTACAAAGACGATGAGCTTATTAGTCTACTGGAGTTTAACAAACGAGTTTATTAGACGACGAGTTCATTTGATATTCAGTTCGATAAAATCTTGCAGTGTCAATTTTTGCATGAGGATTTTTTTGCTGTCTTGCATCCGGACAGTTCTTTTGCAACTGATGACGTTACGAGGCAACTATGAGTGCTTGCCCTGTCGAAAACCCAGTCACGAAGGGCTTAACCTTCCCAAATTTTCAACGGTCCCTCTGATTATTATGCAGAAAAATCAAAACAGTCCCTGCAGATACCAATTTTTGGCTAGACTCTTATAAGGTGCACGCTTCCTCAATACATTGATTTGCTTCGTAACAGTTCCGATGGAGTTGCTGACTATTAACATCAGACTTGTTGGAATTTTTCAATCTGATNCAGTCCCTGCAGATACCAAATTTTGGCTAGACTCTTATAAGGTGCACGCTTCCTCAATACATTGATTTCCTTTGTAACGGTTCCGATGGAGTTGCTGGCTATTAACATCAGACTTGTTGGAATTTTTAAATCTGATCATCCTTGTTGTTGAATTTCATGAATGAGTTGATTGGAGTAAGTTAAAAATGTCTAATCCGGGTAAGAATATGTTCGATAGCGATAGATCACCACAAAATTCTGATCGTTTTCAAAACTATGAGTGACAACTGGTGTGAAAATATTATCTACTCGATCATTTGAGAAAATAATCATCTGTTTTCAATGTGCGAAGCAATAAGAACGATGATTCGTGTGAGCCATTTAGAATGAATGAATAATGCGCATAAAATGGAATTGATGCCTTCAAGTTGGATGCTGTCGTCTCATGAGGATGACTATCGTTTTAGTGACACGAAATCAGAATGTGATCTATTTATGAATACGGGCTTATGCATATTTGCATTTTTAATTGAAATTCGTAGTGTGAAGGTTTTTTTATATCGATCGAAGTTTTTCAGGCATGTACAGATATCGTTCACACACACACACCTACTCTAGTAACTAACTGCTCAATCCCTACAATCAACAATCAAGAACATGCACGTTGGGGCTCCTCGCGATTTCAGCGAGACTGATCGTGTTTACGACCTAGGCCTACTATGTGAAGCCGAGTATAGTCAGTGCGACGAAAATACTGCAAAAGATTCAAATTGTTGAGCTATTATCTGTGGATAAACATTTCATAATCGGTGCTGCAAAAGGATCAGTGTGAAAAAGGATCAGCGACCGAGAATAAAATGTTTTTGCAGATAGGGAAATACTCAAACAGCGTAGTAATTCTTCTCGCAAGTTTGTCTAACTGTAAGACGTAAGTATTATTTCATCAATGCTTTTTGATGAACCTTGAAAACGTATGTGACTGGTTGCTCACTCAGGGAGAAAGATAGTGGGTTAAAGTTCTTCAAAATGCGGAATTTAGTCGTGTTTTCTAGTTGGACCCTTGAACCGAGTGGAGAAGAGCGGAAATAAGTTTCATAATTTGCATATTCCCATACCGCCTCTCCATAATTACGAGCATCAGATTTTTTCATTGATCAATTTCGAGACGAGCGAACTGAAATTATCATTAATGTGCTCACCGATTGCAGACATGTATGTTTTCGATGAAGGCAAAACGCATTTTCAACAGAAATTCGAAACTTGAATGCTTTGTGAGCATTCAGCAATCTGTGTCTCATATCATGTTCAAATCTTGATGCCACCTTATGAATTCCTCAATACTTGAAGTGCTACCAAAAGACAACATTCAGGAAACATCAATACTTGTCGAAAGATGCGAAAAAAGAAACAACTCATGATTGTGACGTGTGCAGCTGTCGGAAACAATTGCATAAATAGAACGTAAAACAGTGCAGCCGAATTTTCGCTTTTTAGGATCGTGCAATAAAATGATAGCAATTAAACGCATTTGCACTCATCAGATGCTTCGTGTACGTACGTTGTTCCTGTTAGGCTCAGGATAGTGAGAATAAAAAGGCAATAAAAATTCGTAATCTAAAGTACATTCTGTCATCAAATGATCTACGACACTCATTTATTGAATCAATGAAAACATCACAATTTTCACTATGTTCTTCCCTTGTTTTTGTAAGTCGAAAACTTTGTATCCCGATCGTATCAAGTTGACATGGCCAAATTCCTCTAAATTTCATGTGAGGAGGAAATTGATTAAAAATAAATCTCAATAGTTCGATCGTGTGGATATCACGTAATAACCGATGAATAAGCCCTGGGGACAGCATTTCTTGATCCAGACTCGAATAAGCCGCTCAAAAATACAATTAGGCAATGCTTGCTTTCTAAAACCTTCATCGGTCAAAACGATTCGAATTATCAATGCATAACAACGGTGATATTTATTATTTTTTCGTCGTTTGAAAGTGCCTGCTGGCACATATTGTTTGTTGCTCAATGATTGATCGTGGCAACTGTTACAGGATGCAATCGAAAATGCGTTGTGAGCCAAAAATAGTGACTTGAGCATGAATCCAGTTTTGAAGCCAACTGGGTCGTTTCTGTTTTTATCAACTGCTACGTTAGGTTGATGTTCGCCAGAATCTTAATACTCAACTCCCATAAGGCCGGTCAGATATTGATGTCGCTTACTGATGCGTATGTGCGCTCCAAATTTATATACTTCAAGATGTCAAACCGCAAAAATTTCGTATCGATATTTCATCCATTCATAATGCATTGAGATATCGATGAGTGTGAAAAAAAAAGAACATTGAAATGTAGCAATCAATCTGCTGGCTCTGCAAAGAATGATGTGTTGGATAGATTTACGGAATATATGTTAAATAAAAACGAATACTAATGTGTTTAATATGGCTAATGACCACATTTAGTCAACTTCCTTCCGAGTTAAGTTATCATATTGTCTTGTCCGGTCATTTCGCCTAACGACATATCGCCTAATGCCATTTGGACTAATGAACATTTCGTCTATTGTTGTTATTGTTGTTGTTATTTGATGAATGAGCAGAGTGATATCATGAAATTTGTAAAAAACCAACGAGCGTTTTCAACGCACCCAAAAATAAATTGATGTCTCAGTTGTGATCGCGGATAAACGAACAATCTGATGAGTTCGTTGACGAACACGCGTGAAGAATCGAAGAGAGATTACCAGAATAAGAACAAACCTCAATTCAGCTATCTATCAAAAGTGAAAGCAAATATAATTTACCAATTTCGTTGGCTATAGGCTATATGGTGTTGTAGTGATCCTTCGCTTTGAGTAGGTACAACCCACAGAAAGATACCACCTAACAGAGCACTACATCATCATTTCATATTACATGATTCCATCCTCTAACTAGGCTCTATCCTTACATCTGTGCAACTCATATCGAAGAATCAGTTTGACAGCTTCAGATCATCATTAATGTTTCATCATAAATTAAGTCTCTACTGAATGAGTGGAGATTCTTTTGCATTTTACTGCAAGTCGAGATTCTTTTCTGTACATTTTAACTGCTGACATCTTCATATCAACCGAAGAGAAATGATCAACCTATTTCGAGAAATGAAATGATCGCCGTATGTCGATGCATAAATTATCGTCAGCAGTCCCTTATGTTAAACACTCCATACTTCCAATGCATATTTTGAATCAATCTCAGTCATTTCATGTAAAAGTATTTTGGATACCTAAAGCAATTTCGCTGTAGTTTGGAACAGCAATCAAATCGTTATGAGATGAGAGGGAATTGTGATAGTGTCAGCACACAATAATTAATGCATTCATCGAAGTGGAACTTCAAATCATAGAATGTTTGCAAGACTTGGATTTAATTGTTTGCGCTTATATGCTGATGAAAATGAGGATGCGGCTAGCGTAAGTCATACTCATCATGATGCTAGCGCTCACAGCGCTAGAGTGCCCCATGAGCACTTGAGTGCTACACATTTATCGTCAACGAACATACCGGATGAATCACGTAAGTTGCCAGTGATCACGCATTCATTCTTCATGCAAATTATCGAGCACTTTATTTCATCGTGGCATTTAGAATTGTGAACGGATCGATTTGTTTTTTCGTAAGTCATTGACTAAACAGTATACTGGTGGCGAGTAATAAGGCAGATTTTGAACATCACCGATCGATTCCGACTGGTGATCACAGAGCTTCAATGCTTGACGACCCGCAACTGATTGGCCTCATTCAGTTTTATTCGGTATTCATCAATCAACCTCTTCGTAGTCACCGACTCAACTTTGATATCATCTATGCACTAATAAGATGAAGTACACTTGTGACATAAAGTTCACTAGTAGGCTAGGGACTGCTCTGTTTTATTGTAATTGTGAGCATTGTATGAAAGAGAAACGTGTGAGTGATCATCGAGCGTATTGATGACCGTTCGAGACAGCATTTCTTTGCCAGGGCGAAGTCTCATGCAGAATGACGATTTCAGTGTAAAAGATTGAACATTTTATTAAACATTTTATTGAAGATTGAACAATGATTTATTTGTTCATTGAAATGTTCACTAAATATTGCAACAGAAACGAGAGAAGGGAGCAATATAGCGACTATCTTATGCGGAATGGATGATTTGTACAATATGATTAATTAAAATGCTGTAACATGAACGAATGCGAATAGCAAAAATTTGCGACTCTATGGGAAACGGACTCAGTATATGAAGTTACTTAAAAAGTGTAGCAAAATACAATCGTAGACTTTCATTGATGATGCATTAATTGCAAATTTCAGAGACGATTGGTAAAGTGAAATGGGACGAGTATCCTTTGAAGAAGAGGGACAGTTTTGCGGGAAGTGCAGAAGTGAAGCCACCGCCCGAACCATTATGGAAGAGGACTGTGAAGGTACATCATATCTAATCCTTCCTACCCTATTCCATCAATTTCAATTCGAAAGAAGCATTTAAAAACGCAAGTAAACATGATCAGATCTGCTTCTAATATGATTTCAAAAGAGATTCAAATAAACAACAAAAATTGTGGTTATGGCTACGGTTAATCAGCTCAACAGATGTTGAGAACTAGGTGGGGTGATATCATAGTTTGAATGAGTGCGGTTGCTCGATGTGATAAAAGATGTAATGAGTTGATAATGATAATGATAATGGAATGAGATGATAAGTGAGCGTATCAGTGTATAACGATGCTATCTGGTTTCTCATTGGGATGTTGCAGCTGCTCAAGATCCTTTTACCGCATATCGGTCTAAATATCCTCTTATTATCATACATCGCTTTTGGAGCACTAGTCTTCATATGGCTTGAGGCTGATAACGATTTACAGGTCAGTTCATTTGAGTTCAACTCGTATCTCCATTCATCTTCATCTTGTTCTCGATCATGATTTTGATCTATAATTGATCATTAGCTCGTTGAATATCTATTGATCGATCTGTTGTTCATTCGTTGTTCTTATGCCACTAGCACAAATCTCGTTCGATTTTACATTTCACTTACTTGTAACAACAACGCCCATCACGTTGCGGTTTTGTGTACAGCATTCATTGAACGGTAGCAAAAACAGAGAAAATGATCGCCATTTTATTGCACTGATTTCGTGGTGTGGTCGTCGCCGATACTCTTGTTGCTGCATTCAATACATAGAATCAGTCTAATAAGACACATTTTTTATCATGCATCTCAATAATTTGTGCATCACAGTGGTTCGTGGGAGAGAAGTCCCTCCCCTCTTGGGAATGAGGAACATGCTAGTGATGTCGCAAATTGAACAAATCAGCAAATTTATTTTGAGTCATTTTTACTTAAGATTTTTTCCGTATCTATTTGGTGTTCTCCAAATTTTGGTCACAAGGAAACTAATCCATCGATAACGCCAACGAATTGTTGACAGTAAAATCGCTAATCGCCGAATCAAATTTTTGAGATCCTTCTGATATCTTGTCTGTAGGTAACAGATTTGTCATGATAGGGAAGAGAAATGAACATTGTTGGAGGGAGGCGGCATGGCAATTCATCATACCGCAGAAGAGCGGAGACATCTAATGTGTGGGCTTGAGGTTCACAAGATCTAACGAATCCACCTTTTATCCATCTGTCCTTCCACTTCAAATTTGCCCATCGGCAGCTTACCACATCAAAAGAAATAATTTTATGCCGGTATGATAACGACAATTTATCCTACCAAGGCAATTCATAGTATATTTTGATCTGGTCAGTTTATGGCAGATGTTCGCCTTCACTTCATCCAATTTTCTGAGACCGCAACTAAAAGTTATTGCTAGCAATAGGCCGTAAGCACTTATCTTCGTTCTGATTCAGCATTAAGGAATAGGTCCAGTCTATAGAATACTTCTCTTCATACCCAACGCGTACCTCTCTCAGTTCATCATACATAAATTTGTTAAAGCATTCATTCACCAACTGCTGTGAGTCGACAACGTATAAATATTTTTCATTTTCAGAACAGGCGAGCAAAATTACAGAACGTTTTGAAGATATATGGTATGATAATGAACGAAACGTACAGTATTTGTGTGCACGAAGTGAACGTCTCAAACACGCAAAATATGGTCACTCTCTCTCATTCGTTTATTTGATTGCTTACTCATTCACTGAATCGATTGCTGCTGCAATCAACAACTACTAATTCCTCCATTTATTGGCCTCATCATCTCACTGCCCTCAGTCAGCCAATGGTATTTCATGACTCAGAAAAGCATTCACCTTATCTAGGCTTATCTTGACCATTCGTCCAAGGACCACCGAGATATAACTCTTCCTTGGACAGTTCCAATTTTGAATCATTCTACTACATTGACTGTCTGGAAGTACGTAAAAACCTTGTGAAGTTCCTTGCGAGATCTTTCGTTAGCTCGCTTTATCTCACTCGCATCAGCCCGGAGTGACGAAAGACAGTGAACCGACGTATTTCTTAAAATTTGAATGTTTTCATTCAGCATTAGATCACTGATCTTCCGAACGAAAATAAATTGAACAAAACATGAGGAAAACAGCAAATTTCTCTGTTAACGAGAATAATGATATTGTTGAAGCCCAAAGAAGACTTATGATTATTTTAATAACATTCATGATGGCAATAGTAAATTTTCTTATGTAAGAGGTGCTAAAATCTGAATGTTAATGAAGCTCGTTCGTCCAGTGTTGATTGCTTTGGTAATTCATATTTCGCATTTACTCTTTCAAAGGCATGAGATGAAACCGGTTGAATAAGAAATCAGGATTTTACATTTTTTGGACTGATGAATAGGACCAACTTAAGTTTCCCGGAAACTTCATGTTTTCTCGGATTCTCCAAATTATGCTCCAAAATGAGAATATTTGACCGACCGTAAAGAGTTAACTGATGAATGGAGAGGAGTTTTGCAAAATATAAGCAAAAAACATTGATTCCCATAAGTTGACCCGATTTCTTCTATGTCGTCTTCATATTTCTGATGAATGAAGGATGTTGCTGAGATTTCTTTCTACTTAAGAGCATGTTTGAGCAGATGACTGTAACACACATTGTTAATCATACTATTGTGGATAGCAGACGATATTGGTCTATGAGACAACAGGTTTGATGGTGATGTTCAGATATCAAGGTACAGTAGAACTGTAAAGTACGGAGTGAACACTAGCACATGCATGGATAAAAGTTGATAGAAAAACACAATCGCACTCTAAGTTTCAGATTGAACGACGGATGCGGCCCTTATTAACGGTGTTATCGAGAGCTCATGAGTATGACGACCGGTTTACACTGAACAGTCAAATGTGGACTGACGCTGAAGAGCAAATAATGACCAGATGGTCGTTTGCGGCAGCTGTCCTTTATGCACTCACCGTCATTACCTCCACTGGTAAGCTTGTGACTGCGATCATTTTAGTATTCAACAATTCAGTGAGTAATGCACCAGAACGTTGCTCAACGAAGCTTTCTCAAAAAAAACTCCTAAAATTTGCAGAAGATTCACGGCAATTGCGATGAATTTTTATTGGTTCACATCGATCACGAGTATTATGTAAAAATAACTTGTGAGCTTTGAGTATCACTCTAAGCTGTCGACAACAGTCAAAAGCATTATGCGCAAAACCTCTTTAAACCAATCGCGCACAAGAATCGAATCGAAGGGAATCACACGCTCTCACAATAACTTTTCTTCGCTCGCAACCTCTTCTCGTTCACCTTTGTCTGTGTTAGACGTATCATTGTTGAATTATGAAAAAATCTCAGGTTATGATCATGTGACACCAACCACCGATCCTGGTCGTATATTCACTGTATTCTTTGGACTGGTTGGTATTCCGTTGATGTTCATAACGGCTGCAGATATCGGTAAATTCTTATCCGAAATTGTGATTCGTTCGTACGGTAAATTTCTGCAGTTGCTGGCGTGGATGAGTTCAGTGATCGATGCGATACGTGAATACATCAGTGATGAGGACGACGATTCGATCGACTCAAGGTATGATTATGACTGCGACTACATTCACATCATTTTCAAAATTATTCGCTCTAAATGATCACATTTCACAGTGTGCTCGTTTTTACCATTCCAACAATGGTCGCACCATCGTGCACACATCATCTTACACGTATCAATCCTAGATGATTTGTGAGAACCAACTAAATCTCTTGATAGTGTCATCCAGTCAACAATCGCTACTTCTCTCAACTAATCCACTCTCACATTATTTAATTCGACTGATGCTTTTACAACACCGCTTTGTCCCCCACCTGTAATTTTTATGTCCCTAGAATCGGATTTGACTCTACAACACAGTTCAATCTCAAATTAGGCACGCCTTGACCACTGAGATCATGTTCTGCATGGGATGTTTTTCGAAACTCCTATCATTATTAGAACCTAGAACATTCTGACACTGGTGCAGCATGTTTTGGCGTTGGCCATTTCGGTTCGTCAGGAACGTAAGGAACGGATGTTTCAAACGCACTTCTTGTTAGAGACGAAAGTGGGAACTACTTAGAGGACTTCTAGGTCCTTTGGTTAGAAACGCACGGAACATATGTTTTTGGATTTGGGAAGCGAGAGAAAAACACATTTCACTATAAATTCATGGGCTTAATGCTGAGGTGCTACGAATACTTAATGCGGTTTCAATCAGGAAGAGGCGCGGTTCACGGCGTGTCGATATCCTCGATGAAGAGGAGGACGAAGAAGATCGTTTACAGTTACCGATCGCCTCTTATTTTGCGTTGATCATTGGGTACTGCGCGATTGGCAGTTTACTTTTCAACGCATTTGAAAAGGGTCCCATATGGTAAGTAAAGCAGATATATTTGTTCGAGTTATCATTATTTTCAATATTTCCAAAAGTTCATGACCTCTCGCATTCCTCAAAAAGTGTTATTTAGTTGAAATAATATTTGGATCTGGCAACCTTACGTGCAATTCTTTTTCAACTGAATTTTGTAGTTTGTTTTGAATCCAAAATGCAAATCTGTGATGAGTGCAGTAGAATGAGTTTGCGATAAGGAACTTCAGGTCATACAAACAAAAATGTTCAAACATGATAAGACCTAGATTCAGTCGCAATTGTAAGGACTGAAAATTCTTCCAACCGTGTGAGTAGGAGGATGAATTAGGTCAATATCAGTGTTTCTCAGCGTGAGCAAAATTATTCAACCAAGGGAGGGTGTGATAAATCACCCAGGGTGGATAATTTTAGCAGGAAAAATAAATTTTGTGAAATAGAACGATTTGAATTTCTCCACACAGATGCGTGTACTCTTATGGAATGGTCGTCCGAGTCACTTTAACAAATGATGCTGAATTCCCACACGAAAATTTTTGATGCTGTTTGAATACTGCGTGTTTTGGTTTCAAATTTTAATCAATAATCCAGGCCTCGATAATTTGTTCCATTCGAATAAATTTTCGACCAATAATTTGCCTACGATTTCACTGATACAACTCAACTGTGAGTCGTATTACATATTGATTGCGTTCATTACATTTCAGGTCATTTATGCATGGTTTATTTTTCTCGTTCAACACGATCACGACTATTGGGCTTGGCAACATATACGTTCGGAATCAGTTTTACCTCGCTGTAAGCCTCTCATTTACTCACTCTCCTAGTAATATCACACCTTTTGGTTGTTTCACAACAGATCATGTGTTGTAATTGTCGAGAAGATGTGTGCTGTTTTCACAGAAAACGTACGTTGAACTCAGAAGGCGTTTCAAATGCACACATTATCATTGAATAAGCAACACTGAACTTTCAGTTAATCGTAGCATATGTCATAATTGGCTTGGCAGTCATAACGGCATCACTTGATCTGTGCAGTTCTACACTCAAGAGAACGTTCACTAAGTTGCACTACTTCGGCAGAAAAATACGTGGTGCACGACGGGGTTTTGCGAATATGAGTGACGATATTCGTGAAGCAATGCGGATCATTGCTGCCCTCAAAAAGACTAGGTCAGAGTTTTGACTCTACTCTTAATTCCACTACTTATTTTAAAACAACCTGACCGATTAAAATCTGTACTAACCGATGTTAGTGAAGAATTGAGGTATTGAAAGAAAACTTCTGATATGTCAAACTCGTTGTCGATTCTTATGATTTTGATGAAACAACTGAGGTTTACGCTGCGATCAATGGCATCTTCCACAAACTTCGGGCACTTTTTCCGATCCCAATTATCAGATCATAGCTTCAAGCCGCGCTAATTTACGATCGTTGAACTCGCCGGAGATCATCCCAGTAATGGGCATTGGTTGTTGCTGAAAATTTGTAGAGGAAAAGACTGAGAAACTATCCGTTTTCGGATTGTTTAAGAGAATATTTTGAAGTGAATTCTGTTGAATATTGAATCCACTGTGTTACAGGCCAAGCAAAGAGCGAATAACACTCGAGGATCTGAAGCGATTCCTGGAGGTACAAGAGCACTTGATTCGACAGCCGTACGTACCATATAATGTGCACATCTTCCGATGGATTGAAGATGCGGTTCGTTTTATCAAAACTTCCGATT